AGAAAGTTCTATTCTTGGGATGAGTGCATGAACTTGAGAGAAGTTAAGGTAAAATCCTAAAGATGAAAAGAACCTGGAAGGCCTTAATGCTACCTGAGGATAGTAGTTAAGATTATTTTATTCTCTGTGGGAAGCATTCTGAAGACAATTGTGTTTGTTTTTCCTTTATATTCCTAAATTAATTTCTCATTTCTTTTGGTTCTGATGTCAGTGGAGAATAGCATATAATTATATCCTCACATTTGAAAGTTCACTTTCACTTTTAAGAGAGCATCATAAAATCATATTATGCAAAGACAACTTTTCTTTTCTTTTCTTTTTTTGAGGAGAGTCTTACTCTGTCACCCAGGCTGGAATGCGGTGGCATGATCTCGGCTCACTGCAACCTCCACCTCCTGGGTTCAAGCGATTCTCCTGCCTCAGCTTCCCGAGTAGCTGGGACTACAGGTGTGTGTCACCATGCCGAGCTAATTTTTGTATTTTTAGTAGAGACAAGGTCTTACCATGTTGGCCAGGCTGGTCTCGAACTCCTGACCTCAGGTGATCCGCCCACCTCAGCCTCCCAAAGTGCTGAGATAGCAGGCATGGGCCACCGCGCTCAGCCACCAAAGACATCTTTTTGAATTACTACATACCATTTCCTTAGATTTTATGCTTAAAGACTTGGATATAATTTTGGATACCTTTGCATGGTTAAGTCAGACAAAAGTTAGACCTATTTATAAACCAAGGGAAAAATGTAATAGATTGAGATGTTTAATAGCTATTGCTGGCTTGATTTATCGTTTGCACTTAACTTTCATTACTTAAAGCAATTATGGAGATATTAAAATGTAATTAATTAATGAACCCAGGAGAAATGGAAAATTACATAATTATCATACTTAGCGTTGATACGATTTTGCCAACTTTTATAAGTTTTGTAAAGAAATTTTAATGTGTATTTGTTATTTTTCAGTCTCTGAAGAAACTTAATCATGCCAATGTTATTAAATTGAAAGAAGTTATCAGAGAAAATGACCATCTTTATTTTATATTTGAATATATGAAAGAAAACCTCTATCAATTAATGAAAGACAGGTATGTTTTTATTCACATTTTTCCCTGTTATTCCCTCCATGAGTTCTTTTGATCCTTTCAATATGTCATACTTTACTAGATAAAAATTGATCACTCCAAAAGGTAAATTTAAATTAACTAGTTCTGTTACCTTTATCAAAGGGTAACATTTAACACTGAAGAAGAACCAGCTGTGACATAGCCAGCATCTTTCTGTTGTAAATCCTTGAAAGTGAAGGCCAGTATCTTACATAAATACACATACTATCTATTTACGCTTTTTAAAATACAAATTTATGTATAGTTTAGTACTCAGTAATAAAGCTGGCCTTGGGCACTGTTGAGAAAATTATCTTGGTTGCTCTCCCAAGCATCTTGTGAAGGTTGATGAAAGAATGGAGAAAGGAATGAAGTTGCTTTCAAGAAAGGATCTAAAAAATTCATTCAGTAGAATGCACAAGTCAATGATAAGACTTGGTGTGTTACCAATTCCAAGGAAATTCACAATTTTTAAATATGTGTGGGCAGAGTCTATACAGGGAGAGCTACAGTCTTCCACCCTGGGCTCGGGGAGATAATGTTTTGATGGTTGTTCTGGTCACATCTGGGAGATTAACATCCATTTTGCCTGCTTTTAAAGTGAGAAATGTTCAGCAAAAAACCCTGAAATACTTAGAAATAATTTTCCAAAGTAATGATGTTGATTTCTGTTTCTTTCACACACACACACACACACGCATACGCTCACTCAAGGTCTGAGGATGTTACGTGAATTCTTCTTTAATCATATTTTTCCCTTTCTCAAAACATATTTATTGAATGCCTCTTATGTTCCAGGCCGAAATCATTATAACATTAATATCAATTAAAATAAAAGTAAATTTCTGCCTCTCAAATCAGTTTTTACTTTTCTAAAGTCCCTTCTAGGCCTTGTATATAGACATGCACGCCTTTTTACTTAGTTGTAATTTCAGTGGGACAAAATTTTTTATTTGATTCATTTACTTACAAGTATTTTTTTTGTGGATATGTAGTCTTTATAGTTACTATAAATAATATATTCTGTTAAATGTCTGTACTAAGCTTCACTTTTTGAACTATTTAAAATAAATATCAGTGCAAAAATAGGTTGGTAATTATTGTATATAATATTGATGGAATTATTACCATTAAAGGTGATAATTATAAGGATTGTGAAAATGCTTCCAAGTGGAAAAAACAAACGAAATTGCGTGTATGTGACATTCATTCCTAAGATAAAAGTTATGCATGCAAATGAATTAGAATACTGAAAAATTAAAAGTTTCTTAATCACGTGGAATTATGAGTAATCTTAATTTTCAGCCTCTAATAAATTTTGTCCTGTAAAATATTGAAATGATATATACATACATGAAATATCAAGATACATTTGTTGAAGAAGAAAATGAAATACATAAATGCATGAAATATTAAATTTTCATCTATTTTGAAATATATATAAATCTGGCTGGATGCGGTAGTTCCTGTCTTTAATCCAGTACTTTGGGAGACTGAGGTGGGAGGATCACTTGAGCCCAGGAATTTGAGACCAGCCTGGGCAACATAGTGAGACTCCGTCTCTACAAAAAATTTAAAAAATTAGCCAGGCATGGTGGCACACACCTGTAGTCCTAGCTACTTGGAGGCTGAGGTGAGAAGATTGCTTGAGCCCAGGAGGTTGAGGCTACCCATAATCCCAGCCACTCAGGAAGGTGAGACAGGAGAGTTGCTTGAACCCAGGAAGCCAGCTAATTTTTGTATTTTTAGTAGAGACAGAGTTTCACCATGTTGGCCAGGAGGCAGAGGTTGCAGTGAGCCAAGATTGCACCACTGCACTGCAGCCTGGGCAACAGGGCAAGACTCAATCTCAAAAAAAAAAAAGATATATATATATATGTATTTTTTGTATATATGTATTATATGTATGCATTATATATATGTATTTATATATATATATATAGTATAGAGCTACACTAATACAGTAGCCACTAGTCAGATGTGGCTAGCTCCTGAAATGTTTGCATTGAGGAGTGTTGTAAATGTAAAATAAATTACACATCAGATTTTGAAAACTTGGTACAAAAGAGAAAATGTCTTAATAATTTTTGTATTTTTTTTACTCCAGGGTTGGTGACTCACACTTGTAATCCCAGCACTTTGAGAGGCCAAGGCGGGAGGATTGCTTGAGCCCCAGGAGTTTGAGACCAGCCTAGGCAACATAACGAGACCATGTGTCTCTCTTCTTTTCAGAGACAGAGTCTCACTCTTTTACCCTGGCTAGAGGGCCGGAGTGCAGTGGTGTAAACATGGCTCACTGTAGCCTCGACCTCTCCGGCTCCAGCAATTCCCCTGCCTCAACGAGGCCCCAAGTAGCTGGGACTACAGGCACACGCCACCACGCCTGGCTGATTTTTGTATTTTTAGTAGAGCCAGGGTCTCACCATGTTGCCCAGGCTGGTCTCGAACTCTTGAACTCAAGGGATCCACATGCCTTGGCCTCCCAGAGTGCTGGGATTACGGGCGGGAGCCACTGCACCCAGCCCGTGTCTCTTTTTCAAAAAACAAAAAAAGGTAAATTTTAAAAATAAATAAATAATTAAAAAAAATTTTTTTTTAGAGGCATGGTCTTGCTCTGTCACCCAAGCTGGAGTACAGTGGTGCAGTCAGCTCATTTTTATATCGATTACATGTTGAAATAATATTTGGCACATATTAGGTTAAATATATTGATAAAAATTAATTTTACCTGTTTGATTTCTTTTAACACGGCTGCTAGAAAAATGATGTTAAGTACACAAGTGGCTCTAATATATATTTCTTTCTTTTTTTCGTGGGGGATGGAGTCTTACTCTTTCGCCCAGGCTGGAGTGAAGTGGTGTGATTTCAGCTCACTGCAATCTCCGCCCACTGGGTTCAAGCGATTCTTCTGCCTTAGCTTCTTGAGTAGCTGGGATTACAGACATGTGCCGTCACGCCCAGCTAATTTTTATATTTTTAGTAGAGATGGGGTTTCACCATGTTGGCCAGGCTGCTCTTGAACTCCTGACCTCAGGTGATCCACCCACCTCGGCCTCCCAAAGTGCTAGGATTACAGGCATGAGCCACTGTGCCCAGCCAGCTCTTACGTTTCTATTGGACAACACCAATATGCAGAATATAACTGAAGCATTTATTTATATCTCTAACTTTATTTATTTTTTCCTTTTCTTTTTGAGACAGGATCTCACTCTGTCACTATGCTGGAGTGGAGTGGCACAATCACAGCTCACTGCAGCCTCGAACTCCCAGGCTCAAGTGATCCTCCCACCTCAGCCTCTCCAGCAGCTGGATTATAGGCCTGTGCCACCACGCCTGGCTAATTTTTGTATTTTTTGTAGAGACAAGGTTTCACCATGTTACCCAGGCTGGTCTTGAACTCTTGGACTTAAGCGATGCTCCCACCTTGGCCTCCCAAAGTGCTTGGGATTATAGGCATGAGCCACCACACCCGGCCACCTCTAAAATTCTTAAAGCGTACATAATACAGATTCACATGCTTGGCTTATCTGTTAGTAATTCAGTTTTTCAACTTGCTTTGCTCTTCTTGGAACAGTTTAAAATTCAGCTGGTTAGACCGGGCACGGTGGCTTACGCCTGTAATCCCAGCACTTTGGGAGGCCGAGGTAGGCAGATCACCTAAGGTCAGGAGTTCAAGACCAGCCTGACCAACATGGCGAAACCCCATCTCTACTAAAAATACAAAACCAGGCATGGTGGTGCATGTCTATAATCCCAGCTACTCAGGAGGCTGAGGCAGCAGAATTGTTTGAACCCGGGAGGTGGAGGTTGCAGTGAGCCTAGATTGTGCCATTGCACACCAGCCTGGGTAACAGAGAGCAAAATTCTGTCTCAAAAAATATATACATATACACATACATATTTTATATGTGTACAATATATTCAGTTTTGGATTTGAGTTTTTACCTCACATCAAAACAAAAAAAATCTAATTTTCATGTTTTAAATGTATGAGCTTTAACACTATAAATCTGTGAATCGCACCTTTAACCAGTATCGTGAGGCCAGTAGAGGCTCCAAGGCAGGGGGAATATAATCCTTCTTTGGATTGGTTGGCTGGTTGCTTAACAGAATTATGTGACTGTTCATTTCTTTACAGAAACAAGTTGTTCCCTGAGTCAGTCATCAGAAATATTATGTATCAAATATTGCAAGGGCTGGCTTTTATCCATAAACATGGTAGGTTTCTTTTAAGTTTCATTTCCCTACCTCTTTAGATTACTGTCGAGATTGTGCATAGAAATTACTTATAAAACTGTTAAATAACTTTCTATTGGATAACTATGAATTTGGGGTATGTGCCTATACACACTGACATTTTAATTTTAAAACTTTATAATTTCTGTGATTCTATATAAAATGGAATTTCTGGCTGGGCACGGTGGCTCACGTCTGTAATCCTAGCACTTTGGGAGGCCAAGGCAGGCAGATGCAGATCACTTGAGGTGAGGAGTTCAAGACCAGCCTGGCCAACATGGCAAAAACCTGTCTCTACTAAAAATACAAAAATTAGCTGAGTGTCATGGCACGTGCCTGTAATCCCAGCTACGTGGGAGGCTGAGGCAGAAGAATCGCTTGAACCCGGGAGGCGGAGGTTAGTGAGTTGAGATCGTGCCACTGCCGTCCAACCTGGGTGACAGAGCAAGACTCTGTCTCAAATAAATAAATAAAATAAAATAGCTGCTTTTTAAAAAACTAATATTTAGTTCAAATAGGACTGAATTACCAATATATGTATATTAGGATGGGGAAAGCCTTAGATGCACAAATATGTAATTGGTTTAGTTCTCTGAGACCTTATGAATTAGTGTCCCTCTGCTCTGCCTCACATGGTCCCATTCCTGTTGTTACATTTGTTACAAAAGTACAATGAATGTCTCTTGGACACAGTGAAATGGATGTTACCAACTATTTAGAGTAAGAAGTACCGGATAAACTTGGATTACAAAACTGTTAAACAGATGTCACAAACAGAGCGCACTCTGGCTTTGAAGTGATTGAAAACATTTAGGCTTAAAAAGTCTTCCCAACCCCAGCTGGGCGCGGTGGCTCACGCCTGTAATCCCAGCACTTTGGGAGGGCGAAGCAGGTGGATCACGAGGTCAGGAGTTTGAGACCAGCCTGGCCAACATGGTGAAATCCAGTCTCTACTAAAAATACAAAAAACTAGCCAGGTGTGGTGGGGCACGCCTGTAATCCCAGCTATTCTGGAGGCTGAGGCAGGAGAATCGCTTGAACCTGGGAGTGGGAGGTTGCAGTGAGCCCAGATGACACCACTTCACTCCAACCTGGGTGACAGAGCAAGACTCCATCTCAAAACAAAAAAAAACCAAAAATAAAGAAAAGAAAAGAAAAGAGAAAGATAAAAGAAAGTCTTCTCAGCCCCAAAGCTACATGAAAACCCTCTTCAAGTGATCACCTGCAGTCTCCCTGCCTCCCAAGGTCATTGGAACCCAAGCCATTTGGATATAACCAGAATACTTTAGACTGCCCTTAGAAAAAGCCTTCCTTAAGACAAATACTCATCTGCCAGGAGGGCTTTAATGTTTGTTCTTTTCCCCCTGGGTTTTCTTTTTATTTGCTTGTTTGTTTGTTTGTTTGTTTTTGATGGAGTCTTGCTCTGTTGCCCAGGCTGGAGTGTGGTGGCACGATCTCGGCTCACTGCAACCTCCACCTCCCAGGTTCAAGCGATTCTTCTGCCTCAGCCTCCCGAGTAGCTGGGACTACAGGCATCTGCCACCATACCCGGCTAATTTTGGTATTTTTAGTATAGATGGGGTTTCGTAATATTGGCCAGGCTGGTCTCAAACTCCTGACCTCATGATCTGCCCACTTCAGCCTCCCAAAGTGCTGGAATTACAGGCGTGTGCCACCACACCCGGCCCCCGCTGGGCTTTCTGCCTCATTTTCTTTGGTTTCCCCATTAGCTTTATAACCATTTATTTTATAGATTGAATTGCTAATATAAACATTATAATTATTGGGATTTTGCAATAACACAGCTATTGAGTAAAACTGAACATTAGATAAAATAATTTTAAATGAAGAAATTAGTTCTGATGTGTGGAGTTACATTTTTATTGAATGGACTCTTTAAACAAGTGAGTTTTCTCAAGGAGTCAGCTGCACTGACTTAAGCCTGGTTAAAAAGTGCTCTTCTCAGCCTGGGTGATGTTGCAAAATCCTGTCTCTATCAAAAATACAAAAACTTAGCTGGGAGTGGTGGCGTGCACCTGTGCTCCCAGCTGCTTAGTGGGCTGAGGTGAGAGGATTGCTTGAGCCCAGGAGGTTGAGGCTGCAGTGAGCCGAAATCGAGCCACTACACTCCAGCCTGGACAACAGAGCGAGACCTGCCTCAAAAACAAAAACAAAAACTTCTCACACGTTAATTAGGTGACTTCACTCTGGCCCTCAGCCTCCTCCTCTGTTGCACAGTAGTGATAACAGTACCTCCTTAAGGTTGTTGTGCAAATGAATGGAGATAATCGTAGTGTAATAATACCTAGCCCAGCGCCTGAACACCCCCGGAGTCACAAATAAAAATAAATGTTAAATGGGTAGTTATTTTTAATTATCTCATATACTGTGTGAACTTTCTTGCCAAAGCATTTTAAAAGCAAGGTCCCTACATCCCGTTACTTGTTAGACAATAAATATGGTTTACTTTTTTCCTAAGATGATGCTTCTTATTACAAAAGAGGGGGTTCATTTATATGTTGTTTATAAATCAGATAAAGCTATGTTTAAACCTAATGATTGATTTTATTTTTTTCTCTATATATCACCAAGGTTTTTTTCATAGGGACATGAAACCAGAAAACTTGCTTTGTATGGGCCCAGAGCTTGTGAAAATTGCTGATTTTGGACTTGCGAGAGAATTAAGGTCCCAGCCACCGTACACTGATTATGTCTCTACCAGATGGTGAGTAGGATTATGCAACCCTCCTGAGGCATAAGCCTATGGTGAAATTTTCCTACGATGGATTGTTACATATTTCTGGAAGTTCCGTATTGAATATTTAAAACATAGAAATGAATTTTATAGTCTTTAAAGAAAGCGAAGGATTGGTTTATTGCTCTTCTGATCACTGAAAAAATAAGGAAAAAGCATTTCATTTATTCACTCAATCATTCATTCAACAAATATTTATTGAACACCTACTATGTGCCAAACATCATTTTAGGCACAGAGAACACAGCAGTAAAATAAAAAAATAAAAGAAAAACCTCTGCCTTATGCTGCTTATATGACAGCCAATACACAGATAAACAAGTTAAAAATATTATGGGTCACCGACAGAAAGACATACCATGTTCACCAAAAGACGTGAATCCTCTCAACTGCACGCCACCCAAATGTCCATGAGCAGTAGCATCGTATATCACCCAGAGGAAAGGTTTGCAAGAGTGAGAGTGAATGGTCTATGACTGCATGCAGCAATATGGGTAGATCTAAGACAATGTTGAAAGCAAGAGGCCAAACAGAAAAAGGGCACATACCATACGATTTCGTTTATGTAAAGTACAAAAACAGAGAAAAATAATCTGTGCCATAAACGTCGGGATAGCAAGCGGTTCCATGGGGGGGGGGTGTGTGGTGCCTGGACAAGTGCACAAGGGGCCTTCTGGGTGCTGGTAACATGTCTCTCTTTTATTTTGAGACAGTCTCATTCTCTCGCCCTGGCTGGAGTGCAATGGCGTGATCTTGGCTCACTGCAACCTCTGCCTCCCAGTTTCAAGTGATTCTCCTATCTCAGCCTCCCAAGTAGCTGGGATTACAGGTGCCCGCCACCACGCCTGGCTAATTTTTGTGTTTTAGTAGAGACGGAGTTTCACCATGTTATCCAGGCTGGTCTCGAATTCTTGACCTCAGGTGATCCACCCACCTCAGCCTCCCATAGTGCTGGGATTACAGGCGTGAGCCACTGTGCCTGGCCAATAACATATCTTTCTTGATCTGGGTGCTGGGTCCGTGGATGTGTTGTATTTGTGAAAATTCATCAAGCTCTGCTCTTAGAATACATGCCTCTGCCTGTGTGAATATTATACTCCAGTGAAAACAAGAACATACGTGTATCAGGCCGGGCATAGTAGTTCACTCCTGTAATCCTAGCACTTTGGGAGGTCGAGATGGGGGATCACTTGAGGCCAGGAGTTCAAGACCAGCCTGGCCAACATGGCTAAACCCTGTTTCTACTAAAAATACAACATTAGCTGGGTGTGGTGTCACGTGCCTTGGTGCCACCTACTTGGGAGGCTGAGACATGAAAATCACTTGAACCTGGGAAGCAGAGGTTGCAGTGAGCCAAGATTGCACCACTGAACTGCAGCTTAGGCAACAGAGCAAGACTCTTTCTCAAAAAAAAGAAAGAAATAAATATATTTGAAACATCTGATAATGTTGATACATTATAATAAAGAAAAATAAAATATGAAAGGGGGCAGGGAGTTGGGGGAGATGGGGAGGGGCAGGAATGTTGCTGTTTTATCTGGAGGGCCTCACTGAGAGTAGCCCTGAAGGAGAAACCCATGTAGACTTGGGGAGAACGTGCAGACCCCACACAGTGGCTCAGCCAGAATTTTTTTAGGCAGAGCAAATGCTAAATAGAAAAGCTTTGAGACAGGTGCATGCCCCACGTGAATTCCGCACAGCACAGAATGAATGAATGAGGGCAGTCATAGGAAACAAGGGCAGAGTTTGTAGAGTGGCCAGAAATGATAGTGACTTGGACCTGCTGGACATGCAGGTAGTGAGAAAGTGTGGAATTTTGGGTCTGTTTTCTAATGAATCAGATGTGGGAGCTGAAAGATAGGAGTCCGTGTCTTAGTGTGTTTTGTGTTGCTGTAAAGGAACGCCTGAGGCTGGGAAGTTGATAAAGAAAGGAGGTTTATTTGGCTCCTGGATCTGCAGGCTGTAAAAGAAGCCTGGCACTGGCATCCGCTTGGCTTCTGGTGAGGGTTTTTATGCTGCATTGAAACATGGTGGAGAAGGTCAGGCTGGGTGCGGTGGCTCATACCTGTAATCCCAGCATTTTGGGAGGCCATGGCGGGTGGATCACCTGAGGTCAGGAGTTCAAGACCAGCCTGGCCAACATGGGGAAACCCCATCTCTACTAAAAATACAAAAATTAGCCGGGCGTGGTGGCGCATGCTTGTAATCCCAGTTACTCAGGAGGCTGAGGCAGGAGAATCACTTGAACCCAGGAGGCGGAGGTTGCAGTGAGCTGAGATCGCGCCATTGCACTCCAGTCTGGGTAACAAGAGCAAAACTCCATCTCAAATTAAAAAAAAAAAAAAGGTGGCAGGGGGAAGATCAAAGGGGAAATGGGCATGTGCGAGAAGGGAACAAACAAGAGGAGGAAGCTTGCTGTGGAGCAACCCACTGTCTCAGGAGCAACCCACTGTCTCAGGAACTAATTTCATCTTGTCTGAAAAAGAACTCATTCACTACAAGAGAACAGCACCAAGCCTTTCACGAGGGATCTGCCCTGGTTATGTAACCTGCAAATGTGACCTTATTTTGAAATAGGGTCTTTGCAAATGTAATCAGGCTAAGATGAGGTCAGACCACAGCATGGCTGGTCTTAATCCAATAAGACTGATGTCCTTATAAGAAGAAGGCAGACACAGAGATGGAAGAGGGAAGACACGTGAAGGCACCTTGGGAGAAAGCAGTGTGATGTACACTGTAAATGGATCAACTGTATATTACGTGAATTCTATATCAATAAAGCTTGTAAAAATATTCGTCAAAGGAAGTATAGTAAGTTGTCACTTAACATCATCAATAGGTTCTTGGAAACTGACTTTAAGTGAAACAACATATGATGAAACCAATCCGACCATAGGCTAATTAAAATAAACAATTTCATGGCACATTTCTGGTCACCAAAACATCACGAAAGTTTTTTTTTTTTTCCTGTCACCCAGGCTGTAGTGCAGTGGCACGATCTTGGCTCACTGCAACCTCTGCCTCCTGGATTCAAGTGATTCTCCTGCCTCAGCCTCCCGAGTAGCTGGGATTACAGACGCCCATCACTACACCCGGCTAATTTTTTGTATTTTTAGTAGAGACGGGGTTTCACCATGTTGGCCAGGCTGGTCTCTAACTCCTGACCTCGTGATTCGCCCACCTTGATCTCCCAAAGTGTTGGGAGTACGGGCGTGAGCCACTGTGCCTGGCCACAAAACTTCTAAACAGCGACCAAAACACTAGTATTGAACACTGAAATACATGTGAGCCCTACATACATTTAAGAAAGATTAGTAAAAACAAGGAAGGTAATTATTTGCTCAGTTATTCTAGTTCAGGGTCACAGGTGGCTACAGCGTATCCTGGAAGCTGGAGGCGCAAAGTGAGCACCAACCATGGATGCGACAGCCTCCCATGGCAGCACTCCCTGTCCCCCCGCCCTGACACACACATGCACCCACTGACTCCTCCTGGGGCCACACGGACACCCCAGTTCACCTGACATGCACACGTTTGGGATATGGGAGGAAGTCAGAGTCCCAGAGAAAACCCATGTAGACTTGGGGAGAACGTGCAGACCCCACACAGTGGCTCAGCCAAAAATGCCTTCTTTTTTTCTTTCTCATCAACATTACAATGAAACAACATTGAGCAAAACAACATTGAACAAAACTAGTTTATTTGAGGGCTTGCCGTATTCTCAATGAACGCAGAAAGACATTATGCCAAACATTTGGACTGAAATATTTACACATTTTGGTTGGAAAAAAAGAGAGTTGAGAGTATCTTCCATTTAGCAGACTTTGTGTCGGACTCACCAGCTGACTTTGCTCTTGTAAATTGAGTATTTTTCTCAATTAAAAATATTGTTAGGCTGGGCGTGGTGGCTCACGCCTGTAATCTCAGCACTTTGGGAGGCTGAGGCTGGCTGATCACCTGAGGTCAGGAGTTCGAGACCAGCCTGGCCAACATGGGGACTCCCCATCTGTACTAAAAATACAAAAATTAGCCGGGCGTGGTGGTGCGCCCCTGTAATCCCAGCTACTCGAGAGGCTGAGGCAGGAGAATCACTTGAACCTGGGAGACGGAGGTTGCAGTGAGCCAAGATCCCACCACTGCACTCCAGCCTGGGCAAAAAGAGCAAAACTCCACTCAGTAAATAGAGTTGACTACAGAAGAGGAGTCGGTTGAGGATATCAGTACTTTCAAACTGATAAAAAGAAGAAAAAACTCCACTACTCAGGGATAATCCTTGTTCATCTTTTGTTTTCTGTGCTTCCTTGTGAATAGATGCTGAATATAATGCTTCGTAACATGGTTTTTCTACTTTTTTTCTTGATATATCAGATGGCACTTATTTCCATATCTATTCAGTTGAGTTCCTGTCTGAGCCTTCATGGACATTTCATAGACATTTATTTGTCTCCAGCCCCACTCATTGTGGTCAGGGAACATGTGTTATGTCCTATTGTCCCCAGAACATTGTACAGGTGCCTGACACACAGATGGGACGGGGTCTGAATATCTGTTCCTTGATGGAAATGCATGACCAAAGGGCGTAGAATGCTACTGCCCATTCACCTTTGAAATTGCAATCAAAATCACCTCTTTTGTTTTCTATTCTCACAGGTATCGTGCCCCTGAAGTTTTACTGAGATCTTCAGTTTATAGTTCTCCCATTGATGTGTGGGCTGTTGGAAGTATCATGGCTGAACTCTATATGTTAAGACCGCTTTTCCCAGGGACAAGTGAGGTCGATGAAATCTTTAAAATTTGCCAAGTTTTAGGGACTCCCAAAAAAGTAAGTACTCTTGTTCCTAAGTTGTTATAACTTTTGAGTATTTCTATCTTGCCACTTTGCTTTTAATTTTATAATTTTTGATTATTTACAACTTTTGCCTAGATAGCTGATATTTTTGTTTTGAAATAGGCTTATACTTTAATGATTAATTTTCTTATAATACTTTTTTTTCTTCTTGAGATGGAGTCTCACTCTGTTGCCCAGGTTGGAGTGCAGTGGCACAATCTCAGCTCACTGCAACCTCCACCTCCCAGGTTCAAGCAGTTCTCATGCCTCAGCCTCCCAAGTAGCTGGGATTACAGATGTGCACCACCACGCCTGGTCAATTTTTCTATTTTTAGTAGAGAGGGGATTTCACCATGTTGGCCAGGCTGGTCTTGAACTCCTGAGCTCAAGCAATCTGCGATCTGCCCACCCCAGCCTCCCAAAGTGCTGGGGGGTTACTTGGCGTGAGCCACCGTACCCGGCCATAATCCTTATTTTTTTAATCAGAGTGGGTTAAGGATTGCAAGAAGCCAGAATCCCACCAGCTGAAGAAAAACAGGTGTTTGCCTTTCCTTAAGAACTTCAGGAAAAATTCTGTGTGTTTAGAGTGTAACTTGGGGGTGATGCCCAGCTGACACTGTACAGACAGCCTTGCTTGGGCTCTTTCCTGGTCACTCTGTGGCTGGCCATTGGCATCACCTGTTAACCCCTGGTGTCTTGAACCTTATATTTTCTTTACCCTTTCTTGTTTCCTTTTCTATATCTCTCCTGTGGATATTTGACTTCTTGAACTGAGTACTTTTCAATTAACTATAATTATATTTCATCTATACCTTTCTTTCTGAAAGGTGCTTTATAAGTGTGTATTATAATGACATCCTAATTAAATTAGTAGGTGCCTTATAGTTAACATTACACAAGTAAATGCAGATATGAAAGCTTTAATGTAATTGTCATTTCCCACATATGTGCATTTTTAACATTGGATGTGATGGGTAATATATACAACAAGGATCTTTGTTAGCAGTCAGCCTCTTTGTAAAGCACTTTTCCTTATTCGTTCAGAGTTAACCCAGATATCATCACAGCAACATCACCATCAGGATCTAAAACCAGACAAGAGCTTAATATTGTGAAATTTATAGAGGTCGGGCACAGTGGCTTGTGCCTGTAATCCTAGCACTTTGGGAAGCCCAGGCCGGAGGATCACTTGAGCCTGTGAGTTCAAGACCAGCCTGGGCAACATAGTGAAACCCCATCTCCACAAAAAAAAAAAACAAAAAAAACCAGGTGTGATGGTACGCACCTGTAGTCCCAGCTACTCAGGAGGCTGAGGTGGGAGGATCTCTTGAGCCCGGGAGGGTGAGGCTGTAGTGAGCCATGATTTGCACCACTGCACTCCAGCCTGGACAACAGAGCCAGATCTTGTCTCAAAAAAAAAAAAAAAAAAGTTATAAAAGTGCTTTTCGCATTGTTTCCTAACTCTCAGCTTAATGTTCTTTCTACACTGTCGTAGCACTGAACTGTAGACGTGGTCTGGTATTTCATTCTCATTTTATTTATATAGATCAACATCAAAATGTTCAAACATAAATGATGTTTATATTACTGCTGTGTTTTTTAAATGGATTACTAAAAACAATTTGTTTTGCCCTCCCCACCCACACTTATATATTCCTGAAACAGAGTGACTGGCCAGAAGGATACCAGCTGGCATCCTCTATGAACTTCCGTTTTCCCCAGTGTGTTCCTATAAACTTAAAAACTCTCATTCCCAATGCCAGTAATGAAGCTATTCAGCTCATGACCGAAATGTTGAATTGGGACCCAAAGAAACGACCAACAGCAAGCCAGGTAAGAGGAGTCTTCCTGTTAGACCTTTTAAAATGTTTAGGTTTTTTAATATCAGGAATGTTTTCATTTACAAAGGCAGGTCTATTCTCAACCAGGATTTTACTAAGAGAATTAAACACAAAGCCCTAGGCATCCAGCGTATGTAATAAATTAATTTCTAGGCATATAAGATCATTGGGAGAAATGCAAAAATAGCCACACCAATGATTTTCTGTGTTTTGTGGTTCAAATGAAGAACCCTGAGGTTGCAACAAGGAATCAATCTGCAGTGATAAAAATTCAGACATGTGACAGACTAGTTATGAAGGAATCTGTCATGGGTAGCAAAAAGGCATCTCATGAATCATTCCATATAGTAGACCTTCCTATGCTGTCTTTACAGTTTAGGGGTGGGATTCTGGTTCACTATACAACAGTATCATCCTTTGCTGGAACTGAGTGTGCAGCCTCTGGCTGCCACAAGAGGGCAGCCTTGTGGCACCCAGGCTTTGCTGCTTTGTGACTGCACCTGACATATCCACAGATGTATTCCAAGTCTCCGGCCTTTAAAACCCAGTGCTTTTGTCTGCAAGGCTTCAATAAAAAGGTAAATAATAATCTTTATTGTACTCTCATCATTTAAATATAAATTCTGTGTGACAATTACAAAAATTTATTTTGCTTTTTTTAAAAAATTAATCTTGAGAAAATGTTTTCTAAATGTCATCTGGAAGAACAAATGGGAAAGGATAGTCAAGACACGTTAAAACAAGAATAAGTAATTAGAGAGTGGTGAGGCCAGGCGCGATGGCTCACGCCTGTAATCCCAGCACTTTGGGAAGCTGAGGCAGGCAGATCACAAGGTCAGGAGATTGAGACCATCCTGGCTAACAAGGTGAAACCCCGTCTGTACTAAAAAAAAAAAAACAAAAACAAAAACAAAACAAACAAAAAAATTAGCCAGGTGTGGTGGCAGGCGTCTGTAGTCCCAGCTACTTGGGAGACTGAGGCAGGAGAATGGCATGAACCCGGGAGGCGGAGCTTGCAGTGAGCCAAGATCGCACCACTGCACCTCCAGCCTGGGTGGCAGAGTGAGACTCCGTCTCAAAAAAAAAAAAAAAAAAAAATAGAGCGGTGATAGGGATGGACAGCTTGCCCCATCAGATATTAAAGTAATCTTTAAATTGATGATGGTAACAGTGGAAGTACTGGCATAAGAACTGACAAATAGCTCAATGTTGCAGAACGTATGAGTCAGCATGAGGTAAACAAACGTGGCATCACAAAGAGGGGAGGACGGCTCAGTGGGTGGGTGATGCTGGGAAAATTCATTAGCTCTTAGGGAGAAAGATAAATTGAGGTTCTTACTGCTCACCATACTTTACAAATCACAGAAGGATTACGTTTTGTTGTTGTTGTTGAGATGGAGTTTCACTCTTGTTGCCAAGGCTGGAGTGCAGTGGCGTGATCTCGGCTCACCGCAACCTCTGCCTCCAGGGTTCAAGCAATTCTCCTGCCTCAGCCTCCCAAGTAGCTAGGATTACAGGCTTGTGCCACCACACCCGGCTAATTTTGTATTTTCAGTAGAGATGGTGTTTCTCCATCTTGGTGAGGCTAGTTTCAAACTCCTGACCTCAGGTGATCCACCCTCCTTGGCCTCCCAAAGTGCTGGGATTACGGGCGTGAGCCACTACGCCCAACCAGGGTTACATTTTCAAAGTGTAAGAAAAAAGCACCCCTAAACTGATAGAAACAAAAGGAAAACATACACGTGTATTTGATCTCAAGGTGAAAAAAACATGGGTATTAAAATAATAGAAGAAACCACAAAAGGAAAACTCAGATGATTTGATTACATACAAATTAAAATTTTTCTCTATGTAAAAATCTTAAAATGGAAAGATAAGAGAGAAAATTATTGTAAATTCTTAATATAATACTCTACAGAAACATAAGAAAAATACTGAAATGTTTATATGTATTTTCTTTTTTTTTGAGATGGAGTCTCTGTTGCCCAGGCTGGAGTGCAGTGGCATGATCTTGACTCACTGCAACCTCCACCTCCTGGGTTCAGGCGATTCTCCCCGAGTAGTTGGGATTACAGGCGCCCGCCACCACGCCTGGCTAATTTTTGTATTTTTGTAGAGATGGAGGTGTTTTTTTTTGTTTTTGTTTTTGTTTTAATTTGAGATGGAGTCTTACTCCGTCGCCCAGGCTGGAGTGCAATAACGCGATCTTGGCTCACTGCAAACTCTGCCTCCCAGGTTCAATCTGTTCTCCTGTCTCAGCCTCCCAAGTAGGTGGGACTATAGGTGCCTACCACCACACCCGGCTAATTTTTGTATTTTTAGTAGAGACGGGGTTTCACCTTGTTAGTCACGCTGATCTCGAACTCCTGACCTCAGGTGATCCACCCACCCCAGCCTCCCAAAGTGCTGGGATTACAGGTGTGAGCCACTGTGCCCAGCCAGAGATGGAGTTTTACCATGTTGACCAGGCTGCTCTTGATCTCCTGACCTCAGGTGATCTGCCTGCCTTGGCCTCCCAAAATGCTGGCATTACAGGCATGAACCACCATGCCCAGCCATTTAAGTGTATTTTCTAATTTTTCTTTTTTAAAATTGTTTTAAAGTTTCATTTCTTTAAAGATGGGGTCTTACTAAGTTGTCCTGACTGGTCTCAAACTCCTGGCCTCATGCAATTGTCCTGCCTTGGCCTCCCAAAGTGCTAGAATAATATAGGCGTGAGCCACCACACCTGGCCGATATTTTCTAATTTTTCTAAATATGTATTACCTTCGTAATAAAGACACAATCAGTTTTTCAAATGTATTTTAAAAAGAAAAGTAGTCATGGGACATGAAAAAGATACACAGGAAAAGAAATACAGATTACCAAAAATGCTTTTTAAATGTTCAGTCTTTGTTTACTCTAATAAAATGCAAGTAGAAATGAGATACCATTTTTCATTTATCTCTTAGTAAGAGAATAAAAAGAGCCTTAAAGACAATCAGAAATTATGCTCAAAGATGTTCAATTCCAATAGAAAACTGTCCATTGAAAGCTAATCAAAATGTTTCCAGCCGAATGCGGTGGCTCTGCAGTGCCAATGCCTGTAATCCCAGCACTTTCCGAGGCGGGCGGATCACTTGAGGTCAAGAGTTTGAGACCAGGGGTCTGGCCAACATGGCAGAGCCCTGTCTCTACTGAAAATATAAAAAATTAGCAAGGCATGGTGGTGTGCACCTGTAATCTCAGCTACTCGGGAGGCTGAGGCAGGAGAATAGCTTGAACCCAAGAGGCGGAGATTGCAATGAGCCAAGATCATGCCACTGCCCTCCAGCCTGGGCGACAGAGCGAGACTCTGTCTCAAATAAATAAATAAATAAATAAATAAATAAATAAATAAAGTTTCTAAACTTAAGTTATGTGCATCTTTAATTTGGAATACACTGCCAGCGTTAACAGTGAATTTGTGTAATAAAATTTTTAAACAATTTGGGACAAATCTCATGCTAAAATACTATTATACAAATAATGTGATTTTGTCTTTGAAAAATACATTTTATATGAGAAAAAATACTGAAAAGTATTAAAAAATGTTAGTCTTGGTTGTCTCTGGGTGTTAAATTTTTATTTTCATCTTGAGAACCCGACACGTTTCTCATTCTCTACAGTGATCACTGCTTCCCTTAAGTAAATAGGAAAAAATAAATGCTATTAATTTTTAGTTTCCCTCTTCTTGAAGGATAGTAACTGGTATCTTAAAGTGTCTTAAAAGGGAAGAGTTGGCCGGGCATGGTGGCTCACACCTGTAATCCTAGCAATTTGGGAGGCTGATGTGGGCAGATCACGAGGTCAAGTGTTCGAGACTGGCCTGACCAACATGATGAAACCCCGTCTCTACTAAAAATACAAAAATTAGCTGGGCGTGGTGGCGGGTGCCTGTAATCCCAGCTACTCAGTAGGCTGAGGCAGGAGAATTGCTTGAACCCGGGAGGCGGATGTAGTGAGCTGAGATGGTGCCACTGCACTCCCGCCTGGGCGATAGAGCGAGATTCCATCTCAAAAAAAAAGGAAGGGTTGTTATAAATAAAGCCTTGAAATTACAAAACACATCCTCAAAGTTTCCAGCTCCAAAATATGCATAACTAATTTAGGAATATTGACATACTAATTAATTAATGTTACTTAATTCAGAATTTGAGTACCTTCAGTGTGCTAGGCATTGAAGTATTTAAATTATGCATATTTGTGTATTCCACTGAGAATGCAAGTAACCCTTAATGAACTCTTTCTGGTGCTCTGTTTCACAGCCCTGCTTTGTAGTGGAAGTGGAAAGACCTAATTTAGGGGGAGAGGTTGGTTAAGTTGTAGAATATGAAGACCATTTAAAGTACCAAGCTGCCTTCTGTTCCTCTAAAAACTGACCTTACACATGGGAGGAGTTAACTGTTGGTCAGGGCTGTGTTCCCACGTGTGTGGGGACTGGCTAAAGGCAGGAGGTTCAGGGGAACAGAACTTGACCATCTTAAGGAACCCACCCACCCCAAAAAAAGAACAGCTACTTTGCCCAGGTATTTGATGCCAATAAGGGAATTTTTCCATAGCTGAGCTACACAGGCTTTAGATATTCTGTAGAATATTTTTTCAGTTTTAGCCTTATTGACATTTTGAACCAGATAACTCTTGGCTGTGGGGTGCTATTCTGTGCATAATAGGGTATTTAGCATTGTCCCTGGCCCTCTAGACATTAGACACCAGTAGCGTCCCCCTACCCCTGTCATTATAAGAAATGTTGCCCAGGTAGGAGTGCAGTGGCACCATCTTGGCT